ATCTGGGTTCTCCCATATGCTCCGTAGGCTGTCCATTTTTCCTTGTACCAATGCCTCTGTCTATACTCCAGGACTTGGGCCTTCTGAGACTGACAGTTTCCCCAGCCCACTGTACTGCCAAACTGGCTCCACTCTTGGCCTACAATGCCCTTTTGCTCTTCACTTGCTTAACACTGACTGACGGGGCCTTCAAAATCTACCTTCAATACCATTGCTTCCAAGAATTTTGCCTTCATCATTTGTCTCCCCCACCCCCTGCCTTGCTCTCTCCTGAGTGTTTGCATAGCACTCTGTGGTAACCTGTGTCTAAGGATGGGTGTTCTAGAGAAACACAACCAGTGACACTCATATATGTATAAGAAAGAAATGTATAGCAAGAAAGGAATTTGTATGAAGAAACTGACCCATACAACTACAGCACAGGCAAGCCTAATGTGACTCAAGTCTGTAGCTCAAAATCGGAGGGCCTTCCGCACTCAAGCAGCTGCTGGAGTGATGAACTAGGAAAATGGAGCAGGAGCAGGAAGACCGCAGACTGGTGGAGCAGAGACAAGTGGATCCAAGGCAGGGAATATGGCAGGATACAAACAGCTCCCAAAGGTCAACGGGCTGCATGGTGGCTGCCCGTCCCAAACCCAGGAAGCCAGGTACAGGATGCAGACCAACAAGAAGAGGATGAGACTGAGCCCATTCTTTACACCATCTCTTAAAGGTATCAAAAGGACCCCTCAGACTGTGACCTGATTGGAAGGTTGGATTTCATCCACATTTTCCCATAAGTACAGCCAAATTGACACAAAACGTAAACATCACAGCCTATATCAACAATGTTTGTTTTACTTATCTCCTTTCCCAACCAGACTGAGAACTTTTTGATGACAAACCGTCTTACCAATTTTCTTATTTCTTGTCCTTAGAGTGACCACCCCAAACCCATTGCTATTGAGGTGAGTCCAACTCACATGGACCTTATAAGACAGTGTAGCACTGAACCTTTGGGCTGTAATCTTTCCAAGAGCAGAAAGCTTCATCTTTCTCCCATGGAGCAGCTGGTGAGTTTGAACTTCTAACATTGTGCTTAGCAGCCCAATGGGTAACTCACTGAGCTCCTAAAGTGTGACTCCTGTGATGGGGTGGTACAAAATAGAGTTGTTAAGTGAATGACTCCAGGCAGATATTCAAGGTCTACTAAAAGAGCTAATGCTGGCTGCTCTTTCAACATGCCCTTAAATGCGGATGGATCAAACACAATAAAAATCCCTTCTTGCTCACTCATAGTTTAAGGCAGTGTTTTTGGCGAACAGTGCCTTCAATTCTCCATGGGATCAATCAGTAACTGAGGTTGACAGAGGTTCTGTCATTGTAGACATGTCTTCCAAGGACTGTCGTCACTTCAGTCCTAGTTGGCCCGGAGCACTCTGAGGATCGCACACATGGCACTTTCACACACATTTCTCAGGCTACAACTGTGGCTCCAGGGACACAGGCCTTGTCTAGGGTTATCTGATATACAGACACACAAGTGACTGACTCTCTGATGGTTCATTTTATGTGTCAACTTGGCTAGATTATCAAATGAAAATATTTACATGTGATCAGCATTTAAATTTGTTGCCTTTAAGTAAAGCAAACTACCCTCATTATGTGAGTGTGACTTAGCCACTCAGTTGAAGGCCTTATGAGCACAAACTCAGGTCTCTGAGGGAGAAAGATTCTGCCTCAAAAGCGTAAATTGAGACGCTGCCAGAATTTCCAGCCTGTTGTTTGACCAAGTGATTTCAAACATAAGGCTGCTAGAGTGCCCAAATCTGTTCCTGACTTAAGAGCTTTGGACTTGCCAACCCCAGTACCTCACAATTGTGTAAATCAATTCCTTAAAGCCTCTCTCTCTCAACACACACACACACACACACACACACACACACAATTGGTTCTCTATCTTTGAAGAATTTTAAGACATTTTTTTTTCATACTGGTTCAACCACTAATTCTATTTCTATAAAACTACAAAATCGATAGTTTCTGGATGTTTCAGTTTACCTCTTTAGTTGGGTTTACGAATGTTTATCTTTTGATTTGTTATGAAACACATTCCCAACACAACAATCCTAACCAGAGATACTTTCTTTGCCTAAGCACTGCTATAGACTTGGCATACTTACTAATGAAGATCAAACACTACAGCCTTTCAGATGGATTATAACCCAATGTAAAGAAGACAAAAATCCTCGCAACTGGACCAATAGAAAATATTTTGATAAACTGAGGAAAGACTGAAGTTGTCAAGGGTTTCATTTTACTTGAATGCATGATTGATAGTCATGGATGAAACAGTTAAGAAACCAAAGGACATACTGTGTTGCTCAAATGTCCTACACAAGATCTCTTTAAAGAGTTGAAGATCAAATATTTCATTTTGGGGATTAAGGTGTGCTTTGAGTATGAAGGCTATCCTATTTTCCATGGCCTCATATGTGAAAGCTGGGCAATGAGTAAGGAAGACATGAGAAGAACGGATGTATTTGACTCTACTGTGCCTAATAAAAACGATTTCTGCCGCATGGTTTCCTGTTCTATTTTGGATTCTATTGTTCGGTTTATGAGTGTGTGTGCGATTGTGTGAAATGCAAAGAGAAAAATTCATTCCTCCTACAAAGTTACTGAATTTCTGTTAGATTTCAGGCAACACAGTCAGTGCTTAAGATATAAAATAAGTTGGACATAGTATCTACTTTCTGGCATCCTAGTGGCATAACGGTTTGGTGTTGGCCTGCTAATTGCAAAGCCAGCAGTTGAAACCTACCAGTTACTCCTCAGGAGAAAGATGAGGCTTTCTGGTCCTTAAAGAGTTACCATTTCAGAAACACCCAGAAGCAGTTCTACCCTGTCCTACAGGGTTGCTATGAGTCAGCATTGACTAGTTGGCCATGAGTCAATATTTATATATCTCTCAAAACACAAACAAAATAACTCACTGCCATCAAATCGATTCTGATCCTATGTTACCTGATAGAACTGCTCCTGTCTGCTTCCAAGACTGTAATTGTTACGTGAGTAGAAAGCCTCATCCTTTTCCTGAAGAATGGTTTGTGGTTTTGAACTGATGGCCTTGTGGTTAGTAGCCCAACTCGTAACCCACTGTGCTGCCATGGCTTGCTCCTATTTGCCAAGTAACATACAAATAAGTAGAAAATTATGAAAGCCGTGTTGGGGGGTATTCATCCCTTTTTCTGTTATTCATTTTCAACATGTTCTTTGAGTCCCTTTCACTTCTATTTTTTCCAAAACTGAACACTAAAATGTCAAAAGTGAAATTAGATTTTTTATTAATATCCTATCTGGAAGAGCTTTCTTTTTCATTTATATTGATATCAGCAAACTAGATTTAAGGTGATTAGATCACAAATATTTTTATTTTTTTAATATTTTTTGGGGAAAGGAAACATTTAATGAGTCACTTTAGAAGCCTAAAATGTTAGATAATTAGAAAATATAATAATTACATTTACATATTTACAGTATTTTAAAATAATTTTGAGAAATTCTGAAATATATTATCTTTCCTTTCACTTAATCTGAAAATAATTACAAAGAAATTTCACTTTTATTCATTTTTAGTACCTTTGGTTTAATTACATAGATATCATTCTTTTAGAAAATTTCTCTCTCTCTCCGTATATATATAATAGAGTGGTCTAGGTAGACACAAATAAACTAAAACTTGTTGCAAAAAAAGTTTTGGGAATGAATGAGTAACATTTTTCCCTAATGGATTTGAAAAATATGAATTCAAATAACATAATATAAAACAGAACAGTGCATGAAATGTTACTTAAATATTTTAGATGTTTTTACTTTGTCTCAGCATTAAGATTGCAAACTTGTTGAGGGTTAAAATCAGTATTTTATTTCCACTTTCAATTCTTCCATCACAACAGTATTTCATAATTAATTACTGATAAAGTTATATATTGTCTTATGCAATTTGTGCTGCAAACAATTTTTATTTGTAAGTTCCTGCCCATATTTGTTGGCGTTTATAAGTTAGTAGCACGACAGTTGAGGAAAGGTCAACAGCTTGAACCCACCAGTGGCTTTGACAGAAAGAGATGCGGCAGTCGACTTCCATGAAGATTTTCAGCCCTAGAAACCCTGGGGGGCAGTTCTAATCTGTCTGTTAAGGTCCTTATGAGGCAAAATAAAATACACTGAAATTGTTTTTTTGCTATATTGTTATAGGAATTCCAAGTTGTGATTTAGAAAGTCTCATCAATTTTGAGTTTAAATTATCACAGAAGATTCTCAGATAAACTGAAAAAAAAAGTGATGCTTTGCAAAATTAGCTCTCACATTATTAGGTGCATCACTTAAAGTAAAATTCAAGACTCACGAAAATGGAGAAAATGAAAAGAGAGTCTTTGGAAAAAGCTATGAGTCAGAAGTTCCAAACCTCATCAAATACTTAAACAAAACAAAACAAAAAGACAAAGAAAGAAACCAGATGCACACTTGGGGCTCATCTATGGAAAGTATTATATAGGTTTTTGTGACTTCAACGAAAGCACCAGAGTAATAAAATGACTATTACATTTCAGTAGGATTCACAGTAAAATTGAGCCATCACACGACTGCTTATTATAGATCATATAGGACAAGTACTTTTCACTTGAAAGCCATCAAAGCCATTGCGCATTTGGAGCCATCTCTCGGATTTTATGCTGTCTTGTGCTATTGAGTTGAGTCTGACTGGGTGCCCCCATGTAGCAGAGAGGTGAACTGTTTCCTAGAGTTCTCTTGGCTGAAATCTGCATGACTGCGACCCACCAGATCTCGTGTCCACGGGGCCACTGGGTAGGTCTTCACCAGTTTTTGCTGACCTCCCTCTTGACATTACCTTCCCCTTCACCTAAGCTAGTATGTGCCTACCGCTCGGTACTTACTTCCTCTTTCCCCCTCCCATGGACATTTAAATATACATTTGGCTGGATTTTGTTCATTTTTACTGTATCCCCCTATTCAATCTTGGCTGCCACAAGCAGATGGGCAGAAAGCTCGAGGAAACGTTTGTCTTGCTATCTGTAGTAAAAACCATAAAAGCAGACAGTGACTGCTCCAGGTCTGTCAAATAGATGCTTTGCCTTTTCCTAATTGCATCGAGATGTCTAACCACCAGATTACCCTAACAGGCCCCATGTATCTTTGTCGCTGGTCCCCTCCTCTGACTCCTAGTTGCCAGCAACGCTGGTCTGCTTTCTGTTATTTCAACGTTGCCAATGATAGAATTTCTTATAAACGAAGTTATGTGGTGTCTTAGTTATCCAGTTATCTAGTGATGCTATAACAAAGAGGCCACAGTGGGTGCTTTTAACAGCAAATGTATGTTCTCCTCTGGGAGGCTAGAAAGCCTCAGTCAGGGTGCTGGCTCTAGGAAATAGCTTTCTCCCCGTGTCAGTTCTAGAGGAAGGTCTTTTCTGAGTGATTGCTCCTGGACAATCTTCTTGTGACTTAAAATGTCTTTCTTTCCCCATATCCACTTCCTTCCTTGATTGTTTAATCATTCTTACATCTCAAAAGGGATGTAATCATCCTTACATCTCAAGACATATGCTACAAGAATCCTGCTTCATTAACATAACTCAGAAAACTCATAACCAAATTCGATTATAATCACAGGATTATAACCTACAGTGATCCCTCAAATAATAATACCTAATTAACTAAAATTCAATGCACTGTAGTAAACCTACTGGAATTCTCCCTAGCCATATAATTTAACCTACTATCTTATCACTGACCTTTTAACATCCACTCATAGTCACATACATTCTCAAACACATTAAGATGTTCAGCAACAGTTATTTACTGCCTCTCTCTTTTCCCAGGCCTGTACACTAACTAAAACCTAGCTTCCACCATACTAGATCTCCTCAGACTGAGAGATCCCTTCCTAAGAACTCATCATCAAATTAAAAACTCAGCTTCCAGATTGCCTCTAGCCAAAAGGGCATATTTACCATAAATTCCATTTCTTTTCATTCCCAATTTTGTTAGCAACTGGCATCATTTTACTTATCTAGCACTTTCGAGTAATTTCAATAACAATAAAAACATTGAAAAATAAAGACCGCCCAGCCATAACTATTATTTGACTCTCATAAATGTACAATGAAGGCCTACAGAATCCTCAGGAATGTACCCAACTTCCTCACCACATGACACATATTTGGGGGACACAACTCAATCCCTAACTGTATGCAAAAGCACCACCCTTCCTCCGTTGTCAATACCGTGTTCATGATTTCCTTTTAATGCCTCCTGAGGGTCGCTAGGCATTGGAATCAACTCGATGGCAGTGAATGTTTCTTGAGGAGCACCGTTAGGGTTCTTTTTGGGGGGCAACATTCTGTTGCCAACACCATGTGTGTGTTCTCTAAGATGATCCTTTCTTTGTAGCACTCCTTACCCCATCAGCATTGGTTTTGCTAAAGGTGTAGTATAGCACCAATGAAACACACATCATTCCTCTAGTTCCTGAATGCTTCCTCCCCACCCCACTACCATGACCCAGTTCTGCCTTACAAATCCGGCTAGACCGGAGAACACACATTGGTACAGATAAGAGTTCTCCACACTTGGAATTCAGCACAGATAAAACCTTCAGGAACAGTAGTGGGAGTAGCGATATCATAAGGGTAGGGGGATGGCTGGGGAGGGGGAAGGGGGGGAGAATGGGGGAATCCATCACAAGTTTGGATATATAGCCCTCCCCACCAAGGGGATGAATTTCAGAAATGTGGGTGGAGGGAGACAACGGACAGTGTGAGATGCGAAATAATAACAATATATAATTGATCAAGGATTCACAAGGATGGGAGGGTGGGGGAGGGAGGAAAAAAAGAGGAGCTTATGCTAAGAGATCAAGTAGAAACTGTTTTGGAAATGATGACGGCAACATATGTACAAATATGCTTGATACGATGGATATATGGAATGTTATAAGAGCTGTAAGAGCCCCCAATACAATGATTAAACACACACACACACACACACAGAATTCATTTTGCTTTTTTAAATGTTACCAACACTCTTTTCAAGGCAATCTAGGTTTTTAGTATCAATCATCTTAAAACTCTTTCAGCCTCTACCCATTACCCTATTTCAATTCCACATTTGCACACAGCATTACCACTGGAGACAAAATTCTGCTTTACTTATCTAGTGCTACTGTAACAGAAATACCAAACATGAGTGGCTTTAACAAACAGAAGTTTATTTTCTCACAGTTTAGGGGCTAGAGGCCGAATTGTGGCTTTCTCTCTCCGTTAGCTCTGAGGAAGGGCCTCTCTGAGATAGTTATCCATTGTGAGGACCGGCAGAGGTGGGTGACTTTGCATCCTCCATCAGGCGCACGCCAGCAGCTTCCTTGTATTCCAGGTTTCAGCCAAGATCCATCGGAGGTCAGTGATGACGTCCTTTATGTCCTAATCTCGTTCCCCAAAGTAGAGGTCCTGTTTTTCATTCCTACCAACACTGCACGACAAGTCAGTTGTTCCATGTGCTCCTCACCATCTGATGTGGTCATTCTTTTTCATTTTGGTCATTTTAGTGAGCATGCTGTGGGACATCCCTTGGGATTTTAACTTGCACTTTTCTCATGACTAGGAATGCTGAGCACCTTTTCATATGCTTATGCTCTATTTGTATATTTCAGTTTTTGAGTTCTCTAGCTATTTTTGCCAATTTTTAAATTACAGTTTTTGTCTTCCAATAATTGTAAGAGTTCTTTATATTTTCTTTGTAAACCAGCTTCTTGTCAGATAAACACTTTCTCCCATGCATAACCTACTTTTTTATTTTCTTAAGTGTGTATCTCAATGAGAAAAATGTTTTAATTTTGATGTTAAAAAAACATGCCAAACCAAATATGTTTTATACCAACTGCCCATATTTTGGCATTTAAAATCTTTCTCTTACAAGAAGAACCAGATTTTACAAAAGGACTCTTTTTACAGTCTACCTCCATTTCTTCCCCACTGGCATTTACGCTCTTGTTTCCACACACTCTATATATGTTATAAACCGTACATGTTATCATCATTTATTTTGTTGTTTTTTTTAAACTTAGTAACTTGCAGTATATTTCTATACTAAGAAAAGGATCTTTCTATTTATTCACTTACCATTTCTAGTGCCAGTTATTTTATTTCCACAGATCCAGATGTGCATCTACCTTTTCCTTCTTCTTCTTCTTCTTTTTGTCGCTGGTGTTCTTCACCTGTTGGAGAAAGTTCCTTTTCTGAAGTTATTTATTTCTGCTGAGTGAAAATTACAGGATTGTTATTATTACTTTTAACAGTGCTTTAAAATTTTGTCCACTATGTTCTAGCTTGCATTGTTTCCAATAAGGAATATGCTGGTACTCTTGGTTTTTAACATGTACTTTATGCTTTTTCCTTGGCTTATTTTCAGATTTTCCATCTTCATTTAATTAATTTTATTATTCAACAGTTTGGGTATGATGTACCTTGTCTTTTTATTGTTTCTTGTGCTTCCTCGAATACCTTTGATTTGTGACCAGCGGCAAAATCTCTCTGGGAAGAGTCCTTCCTGTGGACCAGTGACTGGATCCTCAATGTTTTCTGAGCCTGGTAGGTGGTAACCTGTTAACTTTGTTAATCAACTCCCAGGATTGTGAGTGTTGCCCGAGGCTTCTGTGGACTGTGGAACCCAGCATAGCAGTGATGTGCCATGAGAGGAACCATTGGGGTCAGAAGAGGGTGAAAGAAGGATGCAGGGGGAAGGTGTGACTAGCTTCCTCCCTGTGGCACTTGGCCTTGACCTGGGGTGAAGTTGGATTCTCGTGTCTCTAATGAAGATGTGCTCCATGCCTTTCCCCCAGTGTGATTCTGTTATTGCTTTTAATCTACAGATGACGCTTTTGTAAGGTGCTTTATATAGTTAATCACTAAATTAACTAATTAACTAAATGAAATTAAATGAGCTAAATTAATTAAATACTAAAGTTAGTAATTAAGACTAACCTTAGTATGAATTAATACTAACTTTAGTATACTATAAAGTTAGTAAAATAGTAAGTTATTTTAAAAACCATATAAAAAAGTAAACATTTTTTTTCAAGTTCTGAAAAACCAATATAATATCTAAGCGTAGGGGAATAAAATCACTTATTTAATTTACAGCTGTTTTCATTAGCTTGAATTTTAACTATCTGAAGTGCTGAGAGGAGTCCTGATTGTTCAGTGATTAAGTACTTGACTGCTAACCGAAATGCCTGCAGTTCAAAGCCACCCAGCGCTCTCTCTGCTTCAGAAAGTATGACAGCCGGGACCCTGTGGCAGAGTTCGGCTCCGTCCTCTTGGCCGCTCTGAGTCAGAATTGAGGCCACAACCATGGGTCGCCACCTGCTAATCCTTCTATCTGAATTCAAGGTCATGTTAAAGGTTATTGCCACTGCTCATTTTAGCATTGGGAAAATACATGCATAGTATAGAAACTTCAGTAGAAAAAATAGTTTATTTTTAGAGAGGAGTAAGTTTCAAAGAAGCTAGTTACCTTATTTCAGCACTTTCTTCTATTCAGTTTCTAAATTTGGCATTTAGGCACTTTAGAAAAACTTGAGTATTATTATAATGCTATATGATCTCTATTATCCTTAAAATTTAGAATAACAACAACAAAAAATGAGGGAGCTAGTGTTGCAAAGATGAAGCCATATTTCAAGTGTTACTTCAATTAATTCTGTAAAATATATCTGTGGCGTTGAGGAAGCTCACAGAATCTCTTCTCTGAGCTCGCTACTGTGTTTGGGATGAGAACTGGCACTAATTGATAGATGTATAAAACTAAACTCTGAGTCTCAAGACCTGGCCCTTTCTAAGCAAAAGAGATTTGAAATGTGTTCTATTTCTAATGTGAAACTGGCTCTTAGCCACCATCTGCAGGGCATGTGTTCTGAGATTTTGCTGAGAGCAGGGATGAATTTACAATTATTCAAACACATCTTATGCCGAGACCCCACTATGACCAACAAGGTGGCTAAAGCGAGAGGCTACTTGCTACACACATGGATCAGGTAAAACCCGTCCTCCTTGGGTTTGAAGGCCCCCCAC